TAACAACCCCAAAGCTCGCCCTTTACCACTACACCAATGCTCGCCCCTACCACTACAACCAATGCGCCCCTACCACTCAAAAATGCTGCCCCCTCACCACTAAAAATGCTCCCCTACCCTACAACCCCAAAGCTTCGCCCCCTCACCACTCAACCAATCCGCCCCGACCACTACAACCAATGCTGGCCCCCCCACCCTACAACCAATGCTCGCCCTCACCACTACAACCAATGCTGCCCCGTCACCCCTAAAACCCCAAAGTCCCCCTCACCATACAACCAATCTCCCCCGTCACCCCTACGACAAAGCTCGCCCCGTCACCACTACGACCAATGCTCGCCCCGTAACCACTACAACCAAGCTTCTCCCCATCACCACTACAAACCAATGCTCGCCCGTCACCCCCTACGACAATGCTCGCCCGTCACCACTACGACCAATGCTCGCCCCGTCACCACTACAACCAATGCTCGCCCGTCACCCCTACAACCAATGCTCGCCCCATAAAACCCCTACAACCAATGGTCGCCCGTCACCCCTACAACCAATGCTCGCCCCGTCACCACTAAACCCAAAGCTCGCCCCATCACTACAAACCAATGCTCGCCCGTCACCACCTACAACCAATGCTCGCCCGTCACCACTGAACCATGCTCGCCCCTCACCACTATGATTAATGCTTCCCATCACCTCTACAACCCTGCTCTGCCCCATCACTACAAACCCAAAGCTCCCCCGTCACCACTACAACCAATGCTCGCCCCGTCACCACTACAACAATGCTCGCCCCGTCACCACTACAACCAATGCTCGCCCCCGTCCACCACTACAACCAATGCTCGCCCCGTCACCACTACAACCAAATGCTCGCCCCGTCACCACTACGAACAATGCTCGCCCCGTCACCACTACGACCAATGCTCGCCCCATCACCACTACACCAATGCTGCTCCCCGCACCACTACAACCAATGCTCGCCCCATCACCACTACAACCAATGCTCGCCCATCACCACTACGACAATGCTCGCCCCGTCACCACTACAACCAATGCTCGCCCCGTCACCACTACAACCAATGCTCGCCCCGTCACCACTACAACCAATGCTCGCCCCGTCACCCCTACAACCAATGCTCGCCCCGTCACCACTAGAAACAATGCCCGCCCCATCACCACTACGATTAATGCTCTACCCATCACCTCTACAACCAATGCTTGCCCCATCACCACTACGACCAATGCTCGCCCCATCACCACTACGACCAATGCTCGCCCCATCACCACTGCGACCAATGCTCGTCCATCACCATTACGACTAATGCTCACCCCATCACTACGACCAATGCTCGCCCCGTCACCACTACGATCAATGCTTGCCCCGTCACCACTACGACCAATGGTCGCCCCATCACCACTAGGACCAATGCTCGCCCCATCACCACTATGACCAGTGCTCACCCCATCGCCACTACGACCAATGCTCGCTCCATCGTCAATACGATCAATGCTCGCCCATCCCCCACTACGACCAATGCTCGCCATCGCCCAAAACAATCAATGCTCGCCCCATCACCACTACGACAAATGCTTGCCCACCACCAATAGATCAATGCTCGCCCCCTCACCACTACGACAAATGCTCGCCCATCACCACTAGACCCAAAGCTCGCCCATCTCCAATACGATCAATGCTCGCCCAATCACCACTACGACCAATGCTCGCCCCCTCACCAATACGATCAATGCTCGCCCCATAAACCCCTACGATCAATGTCGCCCCATCACTACAACCAATGCTCGCCCCATCACCACTCGACCAATGCTCGCCCCATCACTACTACGACCAATGCTCGCCCCTCACCCATACACAATGCTCGCCCCATCACCACACCACCAATGCTCGCCCATCACTACGACCAATGCTCGCCCATCACTGCGACCAAAGCTCGCCCCCTCACCACTACGACCAATGCTCGCCCCATCACCATACGACCAATGCTCGCCCCATCACCACTACAACCAATGCTCGCCCCTCACCAAACGATCAATGCTCGCCCCATCACCACTACGACCAATGCTCGCCCCCTCACCACTACAACAATTGTCGCCCCATCACAAAACGATCAATGCTCGCCCCATCACTACGACCAAAGCTCGCCCTCACCACTCGACCAATGCTCGCCCCATCACCACTACGACCAATGCTCGCCCCATCACCACTACAAAACCCAAAGCTCGCCCCATCACCAATTACATCAATGCTCGCCCCATCACCACTAGACCAAATTCTCGCCCCATCACCACTACAACCAATGCTCGCCCCGTCACCAATACGATCAATGCTCGCCCCATCACTACGACCAATGCTCGCCCCATCACCACTACAACCAATGCTCGCCCCATCACCACTACAACCAATGCTCGCCCCATCACCACTACGACCAATGCTCGCCCCATCACTACGACCAATGCTCGCCCCATCACTACGACCAATGCTCGCCCCATCACCACTACGACCAATGCTCGCCCCATCACCACTACGACCAATGCTCGCCCCATCACCACTACGACCAATGCTCGCCCCATCACCACAACGAACCCCTGCTCGCCCATCACCACTACACCAATGCTTTGCCCCCTCACCACTACGACCAATGCTCGCCCCATCACTACGACCAATGCTCGCCCCATCACCACTCGACCAATGCTCGCCCATCTCCACTACGACCAATGCTCCCCATCAACTCGACCAATGCTCGCCCCATCACCACTACGACCATGCTCGCCCCATCACCACTACGACCCAAAGCTCGCCCCATCACCACTACGGGCCATGCTCGCCCCATCACCACTACGACCAATGCTACGCCCCATCAAATACGACCAATGCTCGCCCTATCACTACGAACCCAAAGCTCGCCCATCACCACTACGACCAATGCTCGCCCATCACCACTACGACCCAAAGCTGCCCCATCACCATACAACCCAAAGCTCGCCCCCTCACCACTACGACCAATGCTCGCCCCATCACCACTACAAAAATGCTCGCCCCATCACCACTACGACCAATGCTCGCCCATCCCACTAAAAACCCAAAGCTCGCCCCATCACCAATCGACAATGCTCCCCATCACCAATACGATCAATGCTCGCCCCATCACCACTACGACCAATGCTCGCCCCATCACCACTACGACCCAAAGCTCGCCCCATCACCACTACGACCCTTCTCGCCCCATCACCAACAACCAATGCTCGCCCCATCACCAATTTCGACCAATGCTCGCCCATCACCACTACACAAATGCTCGCCCCATCACCAATACGATCAATGCTCGCCCCATCACTACGACCAATGCTCGCCCCATCACCACTACAACCAATGCTCGCCCCATCATCACTACAACCAATGCTCGCCCCATCACCACTACAACCAAAGCTCGCCCCATCACTACGACCCCAAAGCTCGCCCATCATCCCCTACAACCAATGCTCGCCCATCACCACTAAACAATGCTCGCCCCATCACTACGACCAATGCTCGCCCCATCACCAATACGATCAATGCTCGCTCCATCACTACAACCAATGCTCGCCCCATCACCACTACGACCAATGCTCGCCCCATCACCACTACAACCAATGCTCGCCCCATCATCCCCTACAACCAATGCTCGCCCCCATCACCATACAACCAATGCTCGCCCCATCACTACGACCAATGCTCGCCCCATCATCACTACAACCAATGCTCGCCCCATCACCACTACAACCAATGCCCGACCCATCACTACGACCAATGCTCGCCCATCACCAATACGATCAATGCTCGCCCCATCACTACGACCAATGCTCGCCATCACCATAAAAACCAATGCTCGCCCCATCACTACAACCAATGCTCGCCCCCTCCACTACGACCAATGCTCGCCCCCTCACCACTACGACCAATGCTGCCCATCACCACTACAACCAATGCTCGCCCCATCACCACTACAACCAATGCTCGCCCCATCACACTACGACCAATGCTCGCCCCATACCACTACGCCAATGCTCGCCCCATCACTACAAACCCAAAGCTCGCCCCATCCCACTACAACCAATGCTCGCCCCATCACCCCTACAACCCAAAGCTCGCCCCCTACCACTCAACCAATGCTCGCCCCATCACCACTACGCATCGCCCCATCACCATACAGCAATGCTCGCCCTCACCACTACAACCAATGCTCGCCCCATCACTACAACCAATGCTCGCCCCATCACCACTACGACCAATGCTCGCCCCATCACCACTACGACCAATGCTCGCCCCATCACCCCTACAACCAATGCTCGCCCCATCACTACAAACCCAAAGCTCGCCCCCCCTCACCACTACGACCAATGCTCGCCCCATCACCACTACGACCAATGCTCGCCCCATCACCACTACGACCAATGGGTCGCCCCATCAACCACTACGACCAATGCTCGCCCCATCACCACTACGACCAATGCTCGCCCCATCACCACTACGACCAATGCTCGCCCCATCACCACTACGACCAATGCTCGCCCCATCACCACTACGACCAATGCTCGCCCCATCACTACGACCAATGCTCGCCCCATCACCACTAGCCCACCACTTTCTACAATACTATTACCATTACTCACTTTATATATTTGGAGTTCTCCAAAAATGTAGTCATATCGTACTTGAAGATGTTAAGGTTGACGAGGTCGTCGGGAGAGAGGGAAGTGGGGTCGATATTCTCAGCTCGACTCAACAACTGCTCACACTTCACCTGTCCAGCATAAACACAACACTCATTGTTTACCAAGGTCGAAACACTCACAATATTCACCTGTTTTCTAAGTTGATTAGAGAAGGAAAAGTTTATTACAAGTAACACTATAAGGGCCCGGTGGCCTTGTGGCCTTGTGGCCTGGTGGCCTTGTGGCCTGGTGGTCCGGTGGCCAAAGCTCCCGCTTCACACACGGAGGGCCCGGGTTCGATTCCCGGCGGGTGGAAACATTTCGACACGTTTCCTTACACCTGTTGTCCTGTTCACCTAGCAGCAAGTAGGTACCTGGGTGTTAGTCGACTGGTGTGGGTCGCACCCTGGGGGAAATAAGTTAGTCCTTGATGACGCACTGACTTTCTTGGGTTATCCTGGGTGGCTAACCCTCCGGGGTTAAAAATCCGAACTTTATCTTATCTTATTATGCTCTGATAAGCATATATATATATATATATATATATATTATATATATATATATATATTTATATATATATATATATATATATATATATATATATATATATTAGCAAATCAAACGTGGTTTAAAATTTTTTTTTTCAACCTGACAAACAGCTATTTTACTTATCCCTGTTAAAATATAACAGAATTTAGCCTATTCCTAAAAAACTAAACTTAGATCTTCTAAGACAGTAGTATTTATCAGTGATATATTTTAACTCAGTGATATTCAGGCTGATTTTAGCCGAGTAATAACTGTGATTTAACAATTGCTTAATTACTTTAACTATCGTCACATTATAATGGAAGAACTCAAACTTTGTGTTAAAGCTACATTATATACACCGAGAAGTGTGTGGCTCTTAGCATTTTAAACCCTATTTTTTTAAGGATTAAAATTTCTTGTTATCTCTGTACAAGTGAACTGTGAGTTTAATGACCTATGTAACTTAATACCAAAGGCTAAGGTGACTGACCTTGCTCTGCTCGAAGTGTGCCAAACTGTAGCTGTCTAGATGACCTGCCGTGTCGTCGTTGATGCCAACCTGTTCACACACACACACCAATATTAGACACCACGTAATCACACTTTTTCTTCGTCTCTTTGTAAATTCACATGGTTAATTAAATTCATTAAACTTGGGGAGAGTTCTGGAGAACTAAGCATGTTTGGCTCTAATGTGAATTCATAAGGAGTTTATTACGAGTTCCTCAAAATTACTTAGAAAGACCACAAAATTACGCATTAGAACTTTGAAGCTTGAATGTCTGGGTTTATAAAAATATATTTTTATACGTATAAAATGTACTGACTTACATAACTGCTATTTTTTACAGCAAAAATACCAGAGGATCTCTTTTTTCATTAAGACCATTCTGTTATTAGCACAAATATGCTCATTTAGTTCTGATCTATTTAACCTGCTATATATTCCAAAACCAGTCACGTAGTACACACTAATGGTTATAATTATAATCTTAATTTTTAAGTGAGAGGGGAGACCTGTAAGTCAGTGAAAGGCCTCGGTCATTATATGAATAAGACCCGCGTCAGGAAACTTCATTATCCTATACACCTACTTTCCCATCCCGTGCAGTTCTGTCTCAAGTCCAACCTACCCAATATTCTCCACAACATTGTCCTCTTCGCTTTCGGGCTGAGTGGACGCACTGCGCAAACAGCTCCTGCTTTCTCTGGTGCGCAACTTCCTGTTTTCACCAAGATGGCTGCCAGCTACAGCAGGAGGAGCAACACCGTGTGTGTTGACCTTGTTAAAGGGGCAATTTACCCTACGAATGCCCCTGTTTTATTACCAACGATTATTCGGGACACGTTTGGCATTGAAGTTGAAGAATTGCACGGAGTAGGACTTAATGGATCATCACGAATCTTCATAAAGTTCTGCACAGTGGAGGCATATGAAAGGACGGTGACTCAGTACCAGGAGAAGAACATCACCATATCGTCGGGTCTGGAGGTACCCCTGCGAGATGCCTCAAAATACTAACCTGGGGGGAGGATCCGCAACCCGTTCCTTTCGAGGCAGACGATGTGGATAACCGAGAGACATTTCAAAGATATGGCGAGGTTGCATGTATAACTTTGGTTCGATGGACAGAGGGAATCTATGAAGGGTTGCCGGCTGGATCTTACACCGTCAAGATGTCTTTAAGAAGACCTATTCCATCGTATGTTGTCCTGGAGGATTTTTAGGACACAGCTGTACGTGACCTACGCGGGACAACGAAAGGAGTGTCGCCTGTGCGGCGCTTTTTGACCACATGGCGGCCGGATGTGGTAAAGCAGCAGCGCCGGGGGCCTTGGGAACGGAAAAAGTAGACACAGAGTCTCAGGCGGAACCTCTGCCGAAGTCTTTGAGCGCAGCAGGCAAAGGTAATTGGGGGGATGAAGTGGAGGGTGAGTTAGAGAATTTTTTGTGAAACTCCCAGTGGCTTCGGATGCTCCCCCGCAAGCGGGCCGGGAGTTGAGCAGCAGCCTGTGGGGGTGTGGGAGAGACCGGTGATCCACAGGAGTTATCTACCCCCCTTTCAAGAGATGATTAAGTCTTTCCTGGACGTGCCTGCGGAGGAAAAACCCAACTACAAACAGGAGAATTCTGATGGTTGAGAAGGACTTGATTGAGCAGATTCCAGAGCCTCTGGGTCAGAGCCTGGCATGTTGCAGTTGCTACAGGGGGAAGCTGGGGTGCACAAGGCATGGAAATACTGATATGGAAATTGAGGGCACATCTAGAAGAGGGCGGGAGGCTCGTCAGATGAGGAGTTAAAACACCAGCTCAGCGTACAGGGAAGAAGACGTGGGGCAGGAGTAATTAAGAAGGGGCGGGGTTTGTGCACAGGGGGGGGAGGGGGCACAGGTGGGAAAGAGTGCACGGGAAAAGACAGAAGCAGCAAAAAGTGGAACAGACGGGACACAGAGACATAGAGGAAAGCCCCCCCTTTCTGAATCTTTAAGTGTCTAACATAAACGTGAATGGCCTTAGAGCTGACGGTAAACGAGTATGGTTGGAGGATGTTTTGCGGCGTTTTAACATTGAAGTGTGTTTTTATTCAAGAACACAATTTCAAGTATGGCAGAGAGTTGAGGCTGAACGGTTTTTAGGATGTATGTTGGTAGTTCAGGGAAATTAAAGGGTGGGGGGGTGGCAGTGGCAGTGGGGAGTCCAGCCCATTCCACGTGCTCAAGTGGGAAGAGGGAGGGGAGGGGAGGGTGGTGAGGGTGGAAGGGTTTATGGGGTTGAGATTAGAGTATGTTTTCTGGGGAAATAAAATATGCCGGCAGATAGTAATACGGGTAAAGGTTTGCATTTTGTAAGGGAGTTTTTGCTTTTCTACATGGGGGGTTTTACCAATGGTTTCTATAATAGGGGGGGATTGGAATTGTGTAATCAGGAATAAGGATGTGGAGCCGAGAGGGGCAGGTGTGTACTTGGAGTATTGAGGGATTGTTGGGGATGCAGGGGTTATGACATAGGGGCGATGGGTGGAAAGTAGAGCACACGTTTTATGCGGGGGGGTTATGCTGCCAGGTTGGATCGTATATATATAACTCGAGATATAACAGTAAACGTGTAACGACGATAGATTTAGGTTTTCGGACCATCGTGCCGTTTTGGCAGAAAATGGCATGGGAAGGGATGGTTCGTAGGTATTTGGGTTAATTGGAAAATGAATGTGAGGCTATTTTCAGGGAGAGGGGGAGGGGTTGATTTTTAGGGAATGGTGGAAGCAACTATGGGAGGCTCGCAACAAGAGGAAAATTTGTTTTGGAATGGTGGGAAAAACGCACGCTAAATTGCAGATTAGGGAGTATTACCAGCATAGAGGAAGGGATGAGGCGAGGTGGAGGTATGGGTTACAGAAATATTTAGAGGGGAAAGCTAAATAAATTTGTTATGAAGGGGGGGGGGGCTAACATGGAGAAATAGAGGTTTTAAGGGGAAGATTGAGGGATATACAAAATTCTCGTTTTGATGCGATACGTGTGGGGGAAGGTTAGAGGAGGTTCTATGGGGGGGACAAACCGTCAGGATATGTTTTGAGGAGATTTGGGAATGGGCAACAGTTGACCACGATTATGGGATTAGAGGTGTGTAAAGTGGGTGGGGGGTTTATAGGGTGGGGCAGGTACTTAGTACCCCCGAGGGGAATGAGCAATTATGCTGATTATTGGTTTGGGAGAATTTTAAGCAGAGGGAGGAGGAGGAGAGGGGGAGGGAGAGATTCGGGGAGAAGGAATTCGAGGTATTTTAGGGGAGGAGGGGGAGTGCAGTAAAAAAAGGGGTAGGATCAGTGAGGAGGAGGTGGAGGAGCGATTAATGGGCTTGAGTAGGGAAAAGCCCCGGGGGCATTGATGGAATTCCTAATGATTCTATATTACACATTGGGATTGTATGAAGGAATGTCTGGTCCGGTTGTTTAACTGTATGAAGGAAAGGGAGTGTTGGGGGGAAACGCAGGGCACGGGGAGTAGTTTTGGTCTATAAGGGAGGGGGGGGGGGAAGACCTTGGGAGCTTTTAAGGGCGATCTCCCTCATGTGTCAGATTATAAAGTTTTTGCGAAGTTTTAGGTAACCGTAAAGAAAAAAGGTGCTTGACCGAGTCCTACATAGAGGACAGTGTGGGGTTCCAGGTGAAGTATGCGTGAGGGGCATGGGGAATTAAAGATTTTGTGGAGGGTAGACAACGGGGGGGGGTCTTGGGGATTGATTTGGGGGCAGGCTTATGACAGTGTAGATAGACATATGTTGTGTGTATTTTAAAAAAACAGGGTTTGGTGATGAGATTGTGCGCTGGGCGACTACTTTGTATACGCCTGCAACGGTCAGGGTACAGGTTAATGGAAAGTTAGGGTTGCCGGTGCAGATGGGGATGGGTTTGCGAAGGGGTTGCCCCTTGTCTCAAATCCTCTTTGCTTTCATGCAGGACCCTTTTTATAGGCTTATAGAGGAAGGAGTGTGGGAACAGGGAGAGGTGGGGGCCCTGGGGGATGTGGTATTGTGGGGTATGTGGATGACACCACAGTTTTTGGTAGGAGGGGAAATAGGAATTGGGGAATGTGGGACGTATAAAAAGAGATCTTTTGGGGGGGCGACAGGGATGAGGGTTAATGGAGCAAAGTCAAAGTTATTAGAAGTAGGCACGTGGGTGGGGGAGGGTTGGGGGAACAGTATGGGTGGAACGTAGTGGATAGAATTAAGATATGTGGGGTTGTGTATATGGCGGAAAGCTGGGGAGGCACAGAGAATAAATTCCAAGGAAGTAGTGGATAGAGCGATGGGTAGGATGCGCGGGGGGAGGGCTGGGGATGTAACATTGCAGCAGAGGGTGGTGGTAGTAAATACACTTGTGTACGTAAAGTGTGGGGCGTGGCAAATAATCCCCTGAGGTCGTGTATATTCAGGAACTGGAGAGGGTGGTTTTGAGGTATGTGTGGGGTTATGGGAAAGCCATGGCTACGGAAGGAGGTGGTGATGATGGGCGTGCGCAGGGTTGGCTGGGTCTTAACCTTTGGACACACGATGGAAGGAGTGTATGTGAAAGCAGCGATACTTGAGGGTGGGAGGGGAGAGGGGTAGAAGGGTGGGCGAGGTCATGAAGGATGTGCAAAAATGGTGGAAGGGGAAAAGGGACTACTGGAGTGTGAAGATATGGTGCGAAAATTTGTTGGCAGTAAGGGGAAACAAGAAAAGTAAGGGTAAGTAGGCTTGGGAGACAGGTTGGCAGGTACAGTTGATACAGGGAGTAGCTACATACCCAATGTATATTGGAGGGGCATTTGGGAAGACTTTCGGAAGATCAGATTTTAAAGCCAAGGGTTCGTGAAGTGGTTTATAGATTCTTTATGGGAATTTTAGCATACAAGGTCAGTGCTATATAGAATGGGTTATGTAGGTGCTGGCACTTGTTTGCATTGTGAGGAAGAGGAGACGGCTTTTCATGCCATATAATTTTTGTGAAACTTGGGTTTAGTAAGGGCATGGTTAGCGAGAGTTCTGGGTTAAATGGCAGGAGGGGGGAGAAACATTTCGACTTTGAGGGCTATGCATTTTGAGTGGGAGGGGTTTCCAAGGACATTTGGAGGGGAGTGATGTATGTTTTTGGGAGATTTTTTGTATGTGTCTTGGGTGCATGCGGGAGGTGGGGGGTGAATGTAGGGTGCGGGCGCTTGCGGCGAGTGTGTATCGTACAGTATGCAGAAATAGGCTTTCTATATGAGAGGGTTTTGGGTAAATAGTTTTCCCCCTTGGGTTATTTGTAATCTGTCGGTTGGTGTAATGTTAGGTTGGGTGTAGTTTAGAGCTGGATTGGGCTGGTTCTCCCTAAACTGGCATCTTGTTTTTTTTTTTTGGAGACTAGTGGAGGATGGAAGGTGGAATAAAAGTGTGTGGTAAATGGAGCATATGGGTGTAAAGTCGTTAGGAATAAGGGGGGGGCCCTAGGGGGGGGTGAACTGGTGACTTTTGGTTAAGAGACAGGGGTTTTATGACTTTCGACGTCAGGTACGAACTTGAGCATGGAAGGGAACGTGAGTTTGTGTTTTTTTTTTTTAATACAGATAGCATGGGGTCAGGGGATGGCAGGGGGTGGCTTTCTGAAGTGTCTTTTGCCAGGTTGGTTTTGTTAATGATTGAGGTAGTACTGACCGGTACATGTTTTATTAGGAGCCATAAGTTATATTGTGTAACTTAGTGCGTGACAGAGTAAGTCTGATATTGCTCTGGAACATTGTTTAAAAATATATATTCTTGGTGAAATAATACATAAAAAAATGGGAATATGTATTAGTGAGGAAAAATAAAAAAGTATCTGGAGTTGTTGGAGGATAGAAGTTATTTGTAGTGTAGATTGTAAATTTTTTATTGTCTCAGGACTTGAATGTTAATTTTTTTTTAGTCAATGTAAATGTGAAAGTTTATTATTAATAATAATATTGATGTTCAGAATGGTGAAAATGTTAATAAGCTCAGACGGTGAAGATGGGGTTTTCCTTTTTATACTAAATGTGTATTTTGCGTTGAAATGTAATTTATAAGTAGGTTCAAATTTACTTAGTACGTCTTTTGTTATTCTGTAATATATGTTGGGTGATCATGTAATTATAGTTATTTCTTCTTATGTATCCTTTGCTGCGCCAGAAGTGTGGCACTCAGTCAGTCCAGCAAAGGAGGTGGGGTAGGGATTGCTATATAAAAATTTAAAAGTATAATAGGATGCAATAGAAATACTGTTAAAAAAAATGTGAAGGTAATATTCTTGAAATTAATCTGTTTGTTTTTTGTCTATTGTCTTATGTATGGTTTTAAATAACATATAAGTACAAGTTCTTAAGTGTTATTAACACTTCATTAAAATCTAAGTTAGTAAATGATAGTTCTGGTATACTTACCGTTATTATTATGTAATGTACGTTCGTAAGTGACAATATTAGGTTAGGAAGCCTCGAGTGTAAGGCATTTTGGGGATGGTCAAGTGGTGTTTAGTGGTGCACTGTATATAACAGACACATGTAAAGTAGGATGGTTGGGTTAGAAGGTTCACTGGACCTCGTGTATTATCATGATGTCAGAGTTACCATATATGGGAAATGTTTAGTTCAGGTATAAGGATGCATGTTTGCATGGTAATTATATGGGGTACTGTGATTATGAATTATATGGTGTACTGTGATTATGAATTATATTTTGGATACCTGTTTGTTAAGGGATTGTGGTCTTCTATATTTTTATTCTTTTATGTTGTAATACAAAGTTTTAAATAAAATATAAAAAAAAAATATTCTCCACCTGACTCTCCACCCAATATATACAGTCATGCACTCTGCCCAAGTACAGCTGTTTGTGACTTTAAAAAGCCAACTGTGGGAGAGAAACGTAGTCAATAAAGGATCGCATAATACTGCATTTGTGTTTTTTTTTTCCAATAAAAACTATTACTATGATGGAATGAAACTTGAAAATGCAGTATCTGATGAACATTTAATGAAATATATGACGCTATATCCTTATTACCCCTCAGTAGTCTCCCAGCTCAGGCTGACAGATTTTACGCTATTTATGTGAAAGAATATGACAGGGAAAACATACCTAAGCTTTTGTCCCCCTAATGTAACACTATTTATAAAATAGGGTAGCAACACATTGCTAAAGAATCCAATTTTGCTAAAAAAAAATGAAATAAATAATCTTTTCCCAGGAAGGTCTGAGATATTCTTCATAGTTTTTTATCTTACCCCCCGAAGTAAACTGCGGGAAATTTTGAGTTTTCCAGTGCCAGTAATCTTGCATGAGATTCTGAAGGTCAGTATTAGGTGTGGGTTGTGACAGAGGAATATGGGCCATTGTACCAGTGTTGGATACCATCAAGGTCACTGTCACCATTACAACCAAAGACATAATCAAATTCTTCTCCTCCGCTCTCCTGTAAAGACAACCTATCACAGCCTGGTGATATATGCAGACATTTACCCATTTCTGCTACTGTACCACTTACAGTCTACAATAAATTAACCAAAAAAATATGATACTTCATTGTTTTGATATTAATATGACTGGTGCGAGGCTTCTTTTACCCTTGTATTCCTGTCTGAAGCCAAGTTGTCTTGAAGAATGAGACTTGTGCAACATTTGGTTATCTTTATTGAAGGAAACGTGTCTCCACCAGCGGCTTCTTCAGTCCAATACAAAGTAAAAACGGTGGAAAAGAGGAGGAGTTTGAGGTAAACAGTCCGATTTACCTCAAACTTTTCCCTACCGTTTTTCCCTTTGTACTGGACTGAAGAAGCCACTGGCTGAAAAAAAACGTTTTCCCCAATAAAACAACCAAATGTTGCACAAGTGTCTCTTTCTTCAACCTGTCGGTTTCCAAAACCATTTATCACAGATTCCCTTGTTGACTTCTGGTCATCCTGGCGGCTTTGGCGCTTCCATCCATGAAGATCTTTGTCATGTCATGATTTAATAAACGTCTTAACAGACCCAAACCATATCCTAATAAAGGTTTGTTTTGCAAAGTTACATTTTTTCCTCCTTCTGGCAACACGCTATTTAGTTCCAGTTTGCTGGACTGTGTTCTGGAGACTCCAAGTATAGTGCTTGTGATTAACTGCTTTAAAATAAATATGCATTAACCATCTCAAAATTGAATACAACAAATTTGTTAATAGTTGAAATAGCGATGCCCCTCTCAGCCTAGCACGAAATATATAAATATAATAAAAAGATTAGTTAGGTTACACCTCAGTTATAAGGGTTTGTTAATACATGTAAGAATTCTTAGCCTAACTCACCATATAATCTCGAGGGAAAAATGAACAAATAAAAAAGTGGTAATAAAAACTTTAATTAAACATTTGGACAAATCTAAACGATGCATCTGAAGAAAAGTTGAAAAGATGAAGTTCGCTAATCAAAAATAGTGACCAACAAGTTTTTTTTCCCACGAACATGAATTTTACAGTGCATTAATAGATAGTTTTCTACCTTTTTTCTTGACATCCTCAGAGTCTAACTCCCTGATATATTTTTACCCGTATGAACAATCGGCGGCCCTCAAAATCATTGGCAAAAAAAACAAACTATAATATCAATGACTTTCGACTGAATACTTTCCACTGACTTAATCCATAAATTGTGCATTGCATAGCTCTTTTGTTGGTTATTAATAACTGTTTTTTAAACATTTAATTAGTATAATAAATATAAAACAGAGTATCAATTAGTCTTAATGAGTGTTAATTAACTAAACATTAATAACAACGAAATTGTGGTTATATCGAGGTTATACATCGAAAAGAAACCTCAACCTTTTACAACATTGTTATTTTATGAATGAAGAGGACAGTGTAATTCTTGAGTTTGATAACGTAGAGTGCTCTGAGATGTAAAAGTTTCTTGATGTATCTGGTCATCAGCTTGAGTACTCAACTTCAAAAGTTTGTTTCCCAACTTAAAAAACGGTCTGCTTTTAAATACAAACTTAATCCGTTCATGGAGAACTTGACCATTTTCCCATATATCAAGATAACCTTGAAAAGCAAGGTGTGAAATAACAAGGTTGCAAAACTATGAAAGAAGCGTAATTTTCATTGGGATTTTATGAAGATTTTTGGTGGATTTCAGAAAGAAACAGAAATGAACATAAGAAAATCATAGGGAAAGGAGGACACCTGCAGGAGCTGCTGGCCCATACTAGGAAGGTCCTTTAACAATTCATCCCACCTAACAAAAACATTTGCCCTAACCAATTTTCAATGCCACCAAGAAATAAGTCAGATGTGAAAGTCCCACTCAATTCCAAACCCATCCCACATGTAATTATCCAACCTAGATTTGTTAACTACCCAATGTCCCAGCACTCATATAACCAACTAGGTAGACTGTATCCATCATCAATACCCTATTTCAAACCAATACTTTCGATGGTCCTTTCTAAATCTAAACTTATCTAATTTAAATCCAATTACTGCGGCGTTATCTCTTGGGAGTGGAAATCATCAATACCTTATTAATATCCCTTTTTTAATACCTATTCTTCCATTATACACTTCGATCAGGTCTCCCATCATTACTTCGTCTAACAAGTGAATGTAACTTTAAGAGTCTTCAATCTTTCTTCATAAGGAAGTTTTCTGATGTATGTATTAATTTAGTCATCATACGCTGATTGTTTTTAACGAATTTATGTCCATTTTGTAAACGGAGACCAAGAACTGAGTGCATAATCAAAGGTGAGGCACTTACTAATGATGTATTAAGCTGCAGTATGGACCTTGGACTTCTGTTGCTTACACTTCTTGATATAAATAACAAGTAAATCTATTTGCCTTATTACGTACGATTAGGCATTGCTGTCTTTGGTTTTAAGGTTGCTGCCTCACCATAACCCCAAAGGTCCTGTTCGCAATCTGTATGGCTAGTTCTACTTCATTTAATTTATAAGATCTAGGGTTAGGGCACTCAAGCTTCAAACATCTGCATGTATCTACATTGAACTGAATCTGCCACTTTTCTGACCATGAATAGAGTTTGTTTTATCTCCTGAAGTTCCTAACATCTTACGTTTGGATCATTTATCCTATCCTATCATTTGTGTCATCGGCGATTTGCTCATATCATAGTAATTCCCTCATCACGATCTTGATATATATTATACTAACAACGGGGCCAAGATGATCCCCTGTGGAACGCCACTGGTTACAGACCCCACTCGGATTTAACCCCATTTATGACACTCTCTGCTTCCTGTCAGTGAGCCTGACTCGGATCCAACGAGAGCAACTTTTCCCCCAAGCCATGAAAGCTGCCACTTTCTTTAACAGTCTATGGTGCGGAACTCTATCAAAGCCTTACATAAATCAAGTAAATAATATCAAATTCTTTATTGTTGGTCAACAGCCTCAAAAGCTTTTACTGAAGAAAAGTTAATTAAATTAGTTAGACAAAGACCGGCCTCTTGTGAATCATGCTGAGCTATCCTTAATCATGCTATGCTTATCTAAGATGGCTTCTTATAATCTCAGCTATTTATTGACTATAGTAAATTTGCTCGACAATTGAGGTTCAGGCTGATTGGGCGGTAATTTGACGGTAACGACTTGTCCACTGTTTTAAAATAAGGAGTTACATTAGAAACTCTTCCACATATCAGACACTACACCTGTTTGAAGAGATAAATTAATAATATTAGTTAATGGTTCAACAGACTTCCATTTTGCATTCCTTAAGAACACTTGAAAATACTCATCAGGACCGGCGGAAACTTTAATTTTTTTTTTTTTTTTTATGCGGGCTTCATCTGTTATTGCTTCACAACCAATCTCACTAGTGACTGTGATGTTACATTTTTATTCTTCTTCTAGACACTGTAAAATTTAATTACTGGAATATTGTTTAGTGTCTTCCTGGTGTAAAAATGAGAGAAAATTGAATTATTTAAAATCGAGCACATTACATTCTCTTTGTCAGTAAGATGAACAATGTTATTGTTTAAGGGGACTATCTTATCTATATCTTTGTTCAATAGACTGGAAACAAACTGTGTAGATGTAGAGTTAGTTTTAGCTCATCCCTAGCAACTTTAATTTAATATATGTCTCGCCCCATTTTAATGGGGGGGCTTTTCTATCCCCATCTCTTTACCCACTGACCCTCTTATGTATAAACACTGATTCATAAGATGACCCTCACCTCCCTTTTGATCGCTATAAATTCCATCCTTATGCCCTAGTAGATATTTTGAGGCCTATTATTCATCAATTTGGGTCATTTTGTTTGATCTACTTTCTTTATCATGGGAAGACTCTCACTCTCCGCACTTTGAGGCAGCATGTATATTGATTCAGGAAAACTGTCATAATGATTAAGCTTTCGCGATACCACATCCTCACAGAGATACTTGTTCTCTAAGCCCAACCCACTTCTCACTCGCCTATCTCGCAGAAAATCTGGGACTGTTATGAGTTACCGCGTACTATCGTACTTCCATCGCAATGGTAAATGTAATTGATATGTGGTCGCTAGCACCAGTTCCTATGAAATTTCTAAATTATTAACAAGGGATTCATTGTTTGCATACCTAGTCAAGCGGTGTATTTCCCCTTGTAGGTTCTGTCACAAAACTGACTTCAAAAAAAACAATCCTGAATACTTCTAAGAAGTCGTACGATTCTAAATTCCCAGTCAAGAAATTCCAATCAAATGACTAAGTAAAAGCCTCTTCCTAGATTACTACATATCGTGCCTCGTGGCCTTAACAATTTCCTCCATAGTAGTTCTCCACTTGGGTCCCTAACCAAAGTTAAAAGGGTGGCGGAACTCTCCACTCTCCAAAACATAAATACATTCCCCTATTAACCTTTACTCCAAACAGACTCTGTATTATTCCTAATACAGCCATATACCCGTTATTCTGCCAACAGATCCAAGCGATCTCGGAACATTACTTGAAATTTGCCACCCCACCCCCCCTCCCATAACTTCTATTTCTTGGAACAATTTAAACCCTGAATATGACATTCCGCAGGAATGTCCCGACTTTTTGAATTAAAACACGTCTCAGTTAAGGCAAATACATCAACAGTTACCTACACTAGCAACTAATCTCAACTCGTCCATCTCCATTCATAGCACCCCACAGGCAATTAGCCCCCCCAAATAAACATTCGCACACAGAATAGAGATATAGAGAGATCTATACCCTTCCCTGCTCAATTCTATAGATTTACTCTCACCTCCTATTACTGTCTGTATCCACCCCAATCGGTCCCTGGCCTTCCCTACCCTCAATATCTATCTCGTGCTTTTTATTACTAGTTTTAAATAGAACTCGTAGTATTACTTCACTGGGGATGTGTCACTGTTTTCCTGCCCAAATACCCATACAATCTAACTATTAATAGTTTTTACACCTCGCGCCACTACCTCTGCACGCACACTCCAAATGAGTTGCCAGTGCTCCCACCCAAACACTAGATTAGTGAACCCAATCCCTGATGACTTGTATTTGCTGACTATGAAGACACCCCCCCCCCCCCTCCCGGGTTCCCAGTTGTCAAAGATGTTACCGCCTCGCTCTCCGCACTTAAGTATTTGTCCAGCACCCGGCAATTGACACACATTGACCGGACAAACCATTCACTTTCAAACTCCCCCCTTGGCCAAAATCTCACTCATATGAGAGGTTCCCCCTCCACCACCACCCTCCTCTCTTCCTCACATCCAATTTCTATTGCTGACCTCACACCTGCTAATCAGGTACCACTCTACGTCTGCCACAATACGTTGCCTCCACGAACTGAGACAGATAATAGCGCTCGCGCGCACGCCCATTACATTCATGATGGTCATCCAGACGGCTAACAATATCCTCCATCCAGCCCAAGGAAAGCAAACTCTCTGTCTCTACTCATGTCCTTAAAGCAGAACGCCCTACCATATACCAACTTGGCTACCCCAACAAACAATATTCTTATTCCTTAATGTCCTTCGTCGGCGTTCCCATAGTAACTCACATTCTCAGGTAGCACTGAAAGTAATTTGGGTTTTTCCACAACATTTTTCCAGCAGTTCTTCTTCTTCATCGTTTCACCCTTTTATTCGCTTCTTGATCGTCAAAATTTTTTCCCTGTGTCCAGCCAGACCATTTCCCTTTTTGACCAGGACCAAAAAAGGAGGACTATAAAATCTTTGTTTTTTCCCCGGTAATCGCCCAAATTCCAAATTCGCCAACTCAATTCTTCCTTAAGCTGTTGGTAAATTGCTCGATGGGGGCTCTTTTTTCAATTTTGAGAGCGCGCAAAAAAATGTTTTTTCCAAAAAAGGTTTTTAGAAAAAAAATAATCAAACTTACAGTTGTCTGCCTCAAGATAAGTATTCATGGGTTTTTTAAAAAGGTTTTTTTTTTTATCCGTTTTTCTGGCTTTATTTTTGCTGCGGGGCAGACTTCAGCATTTAATCTCACAAAGTGAAGACTCGAAATGACTTTGGACAATCTACACTAATTCTTGGTTGAAAACTTTAAATATGACCCCTTATCTAAAACTAGTTTTGAAAAAGGCTAGAAAAAAAAGTGATCGCTCACAAAAAATGAAACGGTTTCTCATTACAGTTGTGGCTATAGTACCACATTTATGGCCGTAGTAAGAATTGGTTAGTGTTGATGGGCCAATCCTCAGTTCCCATTGAATTTAATGTGCTTCGACCATGCTCGGCTTCCCTTAAAATTTTTCTTGGGGGTCAAGAAAAGGGGAATATTTTCCTTTTAAAAAGTCCCCCCTTTATAAAAAACCCAAAAGTGACACCCCGTTTTCAATATCGGAAACTGCCCAAAATAAGCGACCCCCATGAATTTTTATTCACACCTCAAAAGACGAACAAAAGAGAGATGTAGTGAGGGGTTTTCCTAAGAGTTCTCTGTAAATAAAATCCTGTTTTTTCGTGAAGAAATGTTTCTTTATCTCACAAGACTTCACAATTACGCTTCCCATGCTTATTCATTCGTGACTGTAGATGTAGAATGTAATCCACCCTAACACACATCTTAGTAACCCAAGAAGTGTTTGGTTCCAGAGGGCGACAAAGGGTAACGTATCCATTATAAACCCCTTTCGTAGGTAAATCAGCCTGTCGGTAATGTCTCAAGTCATAAAGACATCACGCGAACCCCTCCCACTATACCCCATGAATTATCAATGTTCAGTATTTATGCGGGCACGGGTAACCAAGAATAAAAGGAGATGGTACTGTTAATCAATAAGGATTAATGAACATAAATATGCTTGAAGCAAGGTCAACCAAAGTAACACGGATTGAGACACTTATGCAGCAAATGAGGATCTTTATTGAAGAAACATTTCGCGAAATGTTTATTCAAAAAAGATTCGCATATTCTGCATAAGTGTTTAAATTCTTCAACTTGTCGGTTTTCAAAACCATTCATTACAAAGTAACACGGACACAAACCGAAAGATATTTTAAAGAACCGGAACAAATCACAGCTCGTCATCAGTGAACCAAAACTAAATAGATGACGATGTTTAAAAGCATCCTTTGTATAGTTTGTAGACACTGTGGTTTGGAAGACAAGTTTAGACATTGCTTCCTTGCTGGCCAACATTATTCTGTAGAACGATTCGCCCCGAGCGCTTCAAAACAGCTGTCAAGAGACTCCAGGTCGTTACCTGACCTCACCACAGCTCTTTACACACGTCTTCTTGCTCATATGTACAAATGTTTTTATCCCATGAAAAAAAAAAGTGAATAAAATCCTCAGAGGGAAAGAAACGTTTACTCACTAAAATGTCCTAAGTGCTTGCCTGTGTCTTGATCCACAGCCACATGTACCACTACCTGCCCATCACCACCACCACCTGCACGCTCCCAACCACCTACATCACAAACCTGTACCACCATCACTGTGGAAAATTACATTTATCTGAATGTATCATTATGTACATAACAGTAAATGAACAAAGATAATTATTATTTTTCAGTTAGACAAGTAGGAATTTGGGACACCTAGGTCGCAAAAAAATGTCCCCCTTCGATACCTACCACTGTCATATCCACAAGTTGCTCTGGACCTATTAATTACAAATGAAAGATGCATCAACAAGAATTCTGGTAAATAAAATTTGGTGGACTGTATATTAAATTAATAAAGAATTATATATTTACACATTTACATAACAGAAGGAGAATATCTTAAAATCACTCACCAATTTGACTGGAAATTAAGGCGTATCATACTCAGAAAACCTCACTGTCTATGAAAATAACACTGGCCAAGTTACAAAATAAGACTTATCTTAGGTTCCTGGAGCTGTCTTGTCCAGTCGCCTGATATCTCAAGTCATGCAGAAATGCACATCCAACAATTTCGCCTCCTATTGGAGAGGTGTCAACCCAATTTTACCTCTAGAGCACGAAAATTCTTCACACTATTAACAAATGTCTGTTACTCTCAATTCAAAAACAAACAATGGCCAGTGGTCCGTCTGCGCAGGCGCAGGTTCCCCTTTCGATAACAATTTATTAAATACATATGGCATCTATTTACTATAAATTACCGTATTTTGGGAAAAATATATACGGGATTTTCCACAATCATACCCCCCACCCCCCCCCTGCCACCACCTGTACAACCACCAGCACCACACCATTTTCCCCTAATACTACTTTAGACCCCTCTCAGTTTTCGGTTCGTCCCGGTACAAGTTGTTCTCTCCCTCACCCCACAACAACACACTAAAACCCTGCTGCTCCCGTCACTGGGCATAACTGGGTAACGGGGAGGAAGTGCTGGACCTCCTGTTGGCTGGAAGCCAATAGATGTATTTTTTTTTTATGTAAAATTATGGTGGATTTCTTTTTTTTTTACCCCCCCCCCAAGAGAATGTGAAAGTGCCACTCTTTTATTGAAAAATTACGGGGAGGCTAAATTTTAGGGATTACACATTCTTGCAAGGGGTTGTTTGCATTCAGGCCGATTCGGGGGAAGGGACTAAAATTTAAATTTTCCTTTAAATAACAGCCCTCCCGCATCAAGGCCCTCCCTTGAGGAGGTTTTCTTGAAGAAATATCTCTGTGAAGATATCAAGGGGCAATGCTAACCTATTAAAAATTTTGCGAAAAAGACAATACTAGGTTATTCCCAATTCTGTGAGTGAACACGCAGTTATAAAGACAGGGTTTTGGCAAGTTAACGGGAACGGTTAGGAGAGAATTCCTTTCCGGGTTTAATAAGCCGTGAAAATGTTTTAAGGTTTTAAAATTCATGTTTTGAAAAAGTTTTCCTAAAGACAGAAATGGGCATGCCACATTTTCTGTGAAAAAAATTGGGAAAATAAAAACCCACTTATTTGAATACATGTAAAATTTTTTGTTAAAACCGATCACTAGAAATATGGGTGTGCCATAAACTTTTTTAATGTACAATAAGAAAATGGGTCAGCACTAGCTAACAGTAGGGGGTAGTGCCATCACTTGTTAATTACACCATACAGAAATGGGTCAGTCATGTGAATATGGGTTAATCAGTTGTAGTACATTACAAGTAGTGGAAAGTCACTAACATGTGAGAAAAATAACCGTCTTAAAAATTAATATATTTCCCAGAATACCGTTGATAAGAAGTTTGGACTTTAAAACTTTGTCTTCACTTTTGAAAATTAGGTATCACTACTTTTACAAATTATCATTAATATTTTACAGTAATCTTTATTTTTTTTTAAAATTTTATAAACTTTAGTTGCAGTATTTTTGGTTGTAAAATTAGTATTTTAAATATTAATTTGCTTTTTTTGATATTTTTAAAGAAAAAGCGTGTAATGTGTTTACCCGTTTTCTTCGCTTTTTAAACCCTTTTCCTTTTGAAGTTGCTACAACACTCTGCGAAGTTAGGGGTGCCCAAAAAACCAGGGGTTTTTTAACATTTGACATTTTCTCCCGAGGTAGCATTACAACCCCTTTTTTTAAAGAAAATTTAGAAAAAAGGAAAATCTAAAATAACAAAAATATTTTTATCTCGTTTCCCCCCAAAATGTCAAACTATTGGAATGTAAATTGAATTCTTTAAAAAAAAATGAAGTTGGAAAATTCTAGTAATATCTAACCGTTTACTTTTAGATTTAGACCCCGAGCATTTAGAAGTTTAAATACGACAAACCTAATTAGGATTGAACTTCGTGTGTGGTTATTATATTCAACTAGTTTTTGAGATGTCAGTCTTGTCAAAACCCGTCATTCGGGTGATTTAAATTTTCTTCTTTGGTTTTTTTGCTGATCATTATGAAAAGTCAACTCACAGTGTGTTGTAGCGTAAGAATGAGGGGCAGAGCCTTTTGGTATTATCACCCGTTTTCGTTTTAAAAAAAAAAAAAAATTTAAAAAAAAAGTCATAATACCCTGGCTGGGTAATTTCCAAAATCCTCATTTGGAGAGGAATCTTAGATTCTTTTTGTCGTCCCGGTCCATTTTAAGTCACAAAGGGACGAGAAAAATTGAGAAGATAGAAGGGAAAAAAAAGGGAAGGGGAGGAGGAAGAATGGAACAAAGCAGCAGCGAATCAGCAACACAAACCATTACAAATAGAATTATTAAACTTGTGCAACATCTTTTGTCTTTTTTTTCAGACGTTTGCCCTCCGTGGCTTTTTTAAACAAATTCGAGGCATAATGGAAATGTAGAACTAAGTACGAAGACGGGAAAACAGCCCCTTTAGTCTTAAGTTGGGAAAAGTACCGCAGCTTGAAGAATCTGTACTTTCTGAACCCCCCGAGCCCTAACCACTTATGACGTGGCACCCGGTGCTATTCGTCAAAAACACCCTTTGTTTTAACTGAAAGTCAAAATTTTTTAAAATAATTATCGAAACTTTGAAACACAGAGGTGCAAATCACACTCAAAGGAGAAAGACCCCACGTGAAGTTAGCCGAAAAAAATCGCCAGAGGTAATACTTAATAATCTTGGCTAATATCATTTGACAAAACTAAGCAAGTTTCCCGAAATCTCAACAAAGAAACATTTGTCCAATAAGACATTTCGGGAAGGCATTGAAATATGTGCTCCAACATGGGATCTTCACTTGGAGAGTAGCAAAGAGATTAGGGCCCCAATGGAAATAAGTCACTCGACATTTTTTTGTTATCCTAGGTTCTCTACAATATGCGATTATGATAATTTTTTAAAATGCATTTTTCTTAACTGAAAAAAATTACTTACACCAGGTGACTTGTACAGCTGTGAGGAGAGGCTAAAATGACGAAAAAAAAACACATCGGATAAAAAAACTAAGGAAGACATGATACCCAAATATAAATACTTAGAGGATTTGGAAGAAGAGTTCCAGAAACTGGTAACAGGTACACAAAGGCAAAAAAATTAGTAACTGAAGACCAAAAATGTAGGAAGCATTTTTTCAGCATCGAGTGGTCAAAAAATGTTTTTTGACCCGAAAAAAAAAACCTGGAGGCCCCTCCATCCGTTTCAAGAAAATTTTTACAAAAACCCCGAGGCAATAGGCTAGACCGGCAATAAAAAGCAAGGAGCCAGGCCGGGGCTGAGATGCGATCTCTGCAGCCCAAACAAGGTTGCAAATAAAGGTACATCACATCCACCCAACAACACAATACACACAACACACGCAACACACACAACAAAGGTCAGAGATTTTCCCTTTTTCAAAGATGAAAATAAGGGAAATTCCAAACAGGAGTAAGGAAAAAATATGTTTGTTTAGCTACAGAATTTTTTGATAAGTGGCTATTTGACTAACCCCCTAATTTTAAAGTTATGAAAAAAGGAAAAAGTAAAGTGACAAGTAAAAGGGTACAGGTTTGGGAAAAAGGGTGCAAAATTCCCCAAAAGGAAAGGGCCTCTATGTGACACAGCACGGCATTCACCGAGGGTTTCATCGACAAAATAAATTGCCCCTAACAAACCGAGACTGGAAAATTTTGAGGGCGTTTAGGAACCCCAAAAAAAATCGTTCACAGAATTTACAAAAGTACTCAGGGTTATCTTGGAGTTGTCCGCCGTATGGGACCTTCATGTAGGGAAAAACAATAAAGAAACTGGAAACAATGCAAACAATTACAAGACTAGCCCAAAAACTGGAAAACCCCACTATATTTCTAAATTGACGATACTGGAGGACAGGGGACTAACGACACGTTCCGACTACACAATATTTGAGGGAATAACAGGTGGATAGGTGGGAAAACGGTATCCCCCCCAACATTAAAAAAATAGGTAAACAAGGTCAAGCAGTTTGGAAAATGTGAATTTGAACCGTCCCCGGGGGGAAAAAGAAGAGCCGAATCTGAAACTGCAACTACGCACACGCACACCAAGCCCCCGCACACCACACCCACCACACACCACACACCACACACACAACACACACACAACACAACACAAATCTTAATAACAGTCAATGTTTTTGTTGTACCCTGTTCATGTTTATTTTTAAACTTAGTAAACAGCACGTTGTTTTTACCCAAAGTTATGTATTAGTCCCTTTAAAAATCCCTGTTGTGGTTTTGCCAGGTTATGTACTAGTCTTAACGGCAGTCCTGTTAGTCACTCATTTTAAAAAAATGTAAATGTTGCCTTACATAACCAAAACATTACGAAAATATGTTGGGGCCCCGAGGGGGTTCAAACCCGGATCTAGGGCGGCTATACAAATTAAAAATAAACCACCCTAGGGCCACACTTGTTATTTCAAAAAAGAGTAAACAGTGGCCCAGTACCCTTATTACACCTTGGGTTTATCATGGAATGTTAATTAAAATGGTCCTTAGAAAATATATCTGTTTTACATAATATACAGAACACACAACTTGCATTCAACACATTGGGCCTTTTACAAAAACACTCGAGTACGCTGCTGGTAGTTAATTAAGGATAGGACACAGAATGAAAAATAAACATTACTTTGTATCAGCAGTGTCGCCATAACCTCCCTCTTCTAGTTGGCTTTTAGCCTCTTGTTAAATGCGCCATTTCAGAATCTCAACCAAACACATCGGCTCCATTCGACAACAGGGCCAGGCCCATACCAGGGCCCATTTGAGTGTAAATATAAACCCAAAACTAGCCAATGGCCTGAGAATTATAACAAAATAGTCCAAGGTACTTTCCTCCCCTCTAGCTTCATCACGTCACACCACACCACGCTCTACCCTAGTGACGCTCTGATGTCCCTCCATGAGCTTCCACAGCGATCGGGCTTAATGCCCAAAGTTAGGGTGTGGCTCCAAAGGGATCCTGTAGTGCTTGCTGCCTTTGCACCTCCTGACATCATCTGCTGTTATGCAGCTGCCACACCCTTCGAGCCCAGTGTGGGCATGGTTTGTGGCAGCACGAGGTGCCTAGCTTCTCCTTCCGAGCCCCGTGGGGGCGGGGAATGGGGCTAGGCTTTGGGACAACTGGTCCCAGAAGATGAAGAGGTACTTATACCTCCTCCCATGGCAGACATTGGTCTGAGACACTCCCACAACAGGAAGCCAAGACCGGGCCACCTCTTGGAAAAGGCTTGGGCCGGGCGATTATACCTGCTATCTACCATCCTCTAAGAACGTTCCAATATGCTGACTTTTATACAATTACACACACGCGCGCGCACACACACACACACACACACACACACACACCACACACACACACACACACCACACACACATCGGCCTGACGACACTGGAGGACAGGAGGGTTAGGGGAGACATGATAACGACATACAAAATACTGCGTGGAATAGATAAGGTGGACAGAGACAAGATGTTCCAGAGAGGGGACACAGAAACAAGGGGTCACAATTGGAAATTGAAGACTGAGATGAGTCAAAGGGATGTTAGGAAGTATTTCTTCAGTCATGGAGTTGTCAGGAAGTGGAATAGTCTAGCAAGTGATGTAGTGGAGGCAGGAAGCATGCATAGCTTCAAGACGAGGTATGACAAAGCTCAGGGAGCAGAGACGGGACCTAGCAGCAATCAGTGAGGAGGCGGGGCCAGGACCTAAGTATCGACCCCTGCAACCACAATTAGGTGAGTACAATTAGGTGAGTATACACACACACACAGGAAGTGGAATAGTCTGGCAAGTGATGTAGTGGGGCAGGAACCCCACACAGTTTTAAGACGAGGTTTGATAGAGGTCATGGAGCAGGGAGAGAAAGGACCTAGTAACGATCAGTGAAAAGGCGGGGGACAGGAACTATGAATCGACCCCTGCAACCACAAATTAGGTGAGTACGTACACACACACACACACACGCGCGCGCGCGCAAGACCTTGGTTCACCCAAAGGTGTAGAGAGGCCAAAACTAAGTGCGCTAGAGAAGGAAAAGTATAGAAGACAAAGGACCCAGGAAAATAGAGAGATTAGCCGAAGAACTAGAAATTAATATGCATAGATAAGGAGGGAGGCCGAGCAGCAATATGAGAATAACATAGCATCGAATGCCAAATCTTCCCCAAAGCCGTTGTACAGCCACAACAAGAGGATAACAGTCAAGGACTAAGTAATCAGGCTGAGAAAGGAAGGAGGGGAGATCACAAGAAACGACAAAGCAGTATGTGAAGAGCTAAACACAAGGTTTAAGGAAGTATTTTCAGTTGAGACAGACTGAACCTCAGTAAACCGGAATGGTAGGATACACCAACAGGTGCTGGACACGCTACACACAACCGAGGAGGAAGTAAAGAGGCTGCTAAGTGAACTAGATGCCTCATAGGTGGTGGGGCCGGACACCTCTCCATGGGTCCTGATAGACGAAGCAGAAGATGCTGTGTATGCCACTAACAACAATCTTCAACACACCTGAGGTGTGGAAGACAGCAAATGTTGTCCCTACTTTAAGAAAGGAGACAAGCAGGTAGCATTAAACTAAGACCAGTGTCACTGATATGTATAGTATGTAAAGTCATGGAGAAGCTTATCAGTAAAAGACTGGTGAAATTCCTAAAAAGGAATGAGGTTATACATGATAACCAGCACAGGTTTCAGGGGGGGGAAAGCCTGTGTCACAAACCTACTAGAGTTTTACTAGGTGACACAAGTAAGACAGGAAAGAGAGGGGTGGGTAGATTGCATTTTCTTGAACTGTAAGAAGACTTTTCGACACAGTTCCACACCAGAAGTTAGTGCAAAAGCTAGAGGAGCAGCCTGGAATAAAACAGGAAAGGCAACTACAGTGGATAAGAGAATACATGACAGGAAGGAAACAATGAGCAGTGTTATGTGACGAGGTGTCAGAGCAGACGCCTATGACGAGCACGGTTCCACAGGGAACAATCCTAGGGCCGGTGCTATTCTGGATATGTGAATGACATGACGGAAGAGTGACCCTGTTTGTAGAAGACGTGAAGCTAAATGCGGACAATTCAAGTTGGTGAGGATCAATAGAACTACAAAGGGAT